TTTCGGTCTGTACATTAACTACATCGAGCAAGTACTTAGCATTAAGGCTAGTATTTTTAGGTAAATTTAAACCAAACATGCCTGTCAAGATTTGGGCATTCGAACTTTCGGCTTGAAGAACCCATCATATGTTACCCAATGTCGTTGTAGTCTGGTGGTTCCTGTATATTGTATCGTGGAATTTGTATGTATGCTTTTATTGTTTACCCTAGAAGATTATTTTGCCTGATGTAGTTTTTTTGATTCAATGCAGCTCAATGCTAATCAGTAAGAAGAATTTGTTATTGAAAATGGATAGGATGAGGATGTAATGTGATGTGATGTGATGTGATGTGATGAGTCTTCAGTCCGATTTATGTGTGTAGAAATATAATGTAGATATCATCAAGTATTATATTATATTCTACAGCGACAGGCTAAAAACCGAAGTTTCGTAGAAGTATAGAACAAGGGTGTAGGCATGTTCCTCGATGGACCAATTTACTTCTCTGGACAATTTGTGTTTTTCTTTTTCTCTTTTTTCTTTTATTTTTATTTTTATTTTTATTTTTAATTTTCATCAAAAAAGATAGATATCTATTAATAAACAATAAAAAATTATAGATAGCAGCTAGAAAAGCATAATATAGATAGCAGCTAGTAAAGCTTAATCAAACAGTTAACTTAGTATTTTGGAGGTCTACTCAAAGGTAAAAACACAAAATAAGTACAAACTGAACAAAACCAATAGTTAATAGTAAGATACAGATTGAAATTGAAACTGAGTATTCCATAACATTAAGATTTTCGAAGTAAGAGTTGAATTTTATATCCGGTGAGTTGTTTGAGCCCTCAATTTACGACATCCTTTAAATTATTATCTAAATTCATCAGTAAGTAAAAGAATTAAGATTTGGTGGAGTAAATAAGTAAGAAAATAGAAATTTGCATCTGGGAAGTTTTACGTAGTTGGGATTTTAAAATTGAATCTTTTTAAATTTGAATCTTAATAGGGTTCTACATTTCTCCTGCCTTTCTTTGCTCGATCGCTCGTCGCCTTGAAATCACAGCCCTATCCTTTGCGAGCCGAAGAGGTTCACGGTGTTAAATGTTTTGAAGCCCCAAAATATAGACTAAATTTATTTTTTTTGTTTCATTTTCTTTATTGCCTTTGTCCTTTGGTCTCCTCACATATAACTGTTGGAACTTGGCGGCGCTTAGACGGAGTCCAAAAGATTCCACAACATTAACTTTTTTCTATTTTAGGGAGTCAAATTGAGGATAATTTTCCAGTGGACTCCGTAGCCATTGCTCCTTAAATTGATTGAGCTTTCCATAAATGGGTTTGGGTAGCAATTGCTCCCTAAAGCTTACCATAAATGGGATTGACTCCATATGTTTCCGGAGCAAAATATGGCTCCGTATTTTTTTATTTTTTAGTTTTTGAACTTGGCTCCCAAATAAAATTAGCCAAGCAAGAGCAAGTCTGGTGAGGTGTAGGAACGAAGAAAACAATAGAACTGTCATAACTCATACCCACTCCTTTACTAAGAAACTTTTTTAAGTTTGAAATCTACATACATGCAATTTATAAGTTTATTTGCATAAGCTCAAAGTTCCAATAAACATTTATAAGGTTTTGTTCATACTAGAGTTGCTAAAGGTGTATTTGGTTCAATGAAGGGGAAAGGAGGGGAGAGATTTTAATGGAAGGAAAGGGAGGAGAGGGGAGGTGATTTTGTTGGAGGGGAAGGGAGGGAAAATAGTAAACTTTGTTTGGTAAGAAAATGAAAGGAGAAAAAAAATAATGTTAAAATGACAAATATATCCTTAATGAAATAAGATTAACAATAAAAAACAATTGAAAGTAGGGACTAAATGATATTTTCATATCATCTTAAAACATTTTCCCTCCAAATCCCTCCAATTTTGGAGGGGAGGGAAATTGAGGGAAGGAGGAAATTTACTTAAAATTTTCCTCTCCCTCCCCTCCTAATTTTTCAACCAAACAAGAGAAAAATAAAATTCTCCATCCCCTCCCCTCTCCTCCCCTCCAAATCCCTCAAACCAAATACTACCTACAAGATTAACTAAAACCTCTAAACGATAAGAACGCAGGTCCACTTGTTTGTCCACACTACAACTAATATATTGTGATGATTTTATTTGCCACGGATTAATATTTTTTATAATGTCTCATGAAAATGTTGAATTTTATTTTTCACATAAAAATTATTTTTTATGACAACATTTACTATTGTCATCAAATCACATTTTTTATGCCAATTTTATGTGTGATGAAGAAATAATTTGCCTCAATTTGATATGCATTAATGTTATTTCTTCATTGAAAAACATTCTATTTATGACATCATTTATTGTTGACCAACCCATGCTCGATCAGTTCATACAAGTCATCGTCCTTATCATTTTTCATCAGGTTTCCCCAGTTGTTATCTCGGCCCGTGTAACAGCCCAGTAAGGTTGACCCGTAGTGCGATATTGTCCGCTCTGGGTACTTTCATCCTTCCCCGCACGGTTTTGCCTTTGGGAGCAAGCTCACCAAAACGCGTCACACTAGTGAAGGTGTCCACAGCCACTTATATGGCATGCTTCGTTCTCCTTCACAACCGATGTGGGATATCAGCATCCACCTATCATGACCCTGGATGTAGATATCCCACATCGGTTGTGAAGGAGAACGAAGCATGCCATATAAGTGGCTGTGGATACCTTCACTAGTGTGACGCGTTTTGGTGAGCTTGCTCCCAAAGGCAAAACCGTGCGGGGAAGGATGAAAGTACCCAGAGCGGACAATATCGCACTACGGGTCAACCTTACTGGGCTGTTACAGTGGTATCAGAGCCAGTACCCGGGCCATGTGCCAGCAAGGACGCTGGGCCCCTCTGAGGGGGGGTGCATGCTGATATCCCACATCGGTTGTGAAGGAGAACGAAGCATGCCATATAAGTGGCTGTGGACACCTTCACTAGTGTGACGCGTTTTGGTGAGCTTGCTCCCAAAGGCAAAACCGTGCGGGGAAGGATGAAAGTACCCAGAGCGGACAATATCACACTACGGGTCAACCTTACTGGGCTGTTACAGCCCGGCCCACGATCCTCCGCCTCATTGCTTTGGGAATTTCCATTCTTCAAAACTTTGGGGATTCACGATGTTGAAATCCTCCTACACGTGTTTATGGTACAACGTTCTCGAGAGGACGACTTTTCTCTGGCTTACATGAAAAGTTGATAATTGAGAAGAAACTGGAAATATGTAAAACAAATGCAAGCTGATTTGCGACTAAAATGCGTCAGGCCCACGATTGACCGAACTGTTCACACAATTCTCTACATCTTACGCATTTACTCAATTTACTTCGCCTATATGTCGAATACTTTATCACATAATGAGATCGTACTCGCTGAACTATCTTCGTTTTTCTGTCGCATAGATTATGACATAATTATCTTCTGACAATTCCCCTATTATCGTATAAGGCGAATTTATACACGGGTAAAGTAGATAAATAATGATGGTTGTGTTCCATCTAAGGGTGCGAGTAAATGACACAGTCCTTTCTGCAAAATGAAAAGTTGAAACACAAAATTTGCATAGAGACGCAAATTTGCATTTATCTGAAGAGAGAGAAGGGGAAGAACGGATTTTGCGGTCCGTTTGGCTGTTCGGTTGAAGTGACTTCTTCTGCAAATTGTCTTTGTTTATTATTTATGTATTTTATTTAATAATATTTGTATTGTAATTTGAAAATAACATACGCTAAACTATGAAATCAAATTCTAATCAAGAAGCAAAGGAAGAACTGGCTAAGCATTCCCAAAGAGACAGTAAGAAAACTAAGTTGACAGAGCAACATGTGGTAGCGAACCTTAATTGGCCCCATAGTGATCAATGAAGACAATACTATCGAACTGTACAGGTGTGGGTGGGACCTCTACAGTTTTCCAGCTCAAGGAGGCCATAAGGTACCACCAAATTTCATCTTTTTGTCAGAAACCAGAAAATCCTTAGTTTTCTCTAAAACTGTTAGTAAAAAAATACACTTTCAAAATAGGTGGTGTGCAGTGGAGCCTAGGGGGTTGAGTGGGGGGCTTTTGTTGCTGTGGGATAATGAGATTGGAGTGCTTTAGGTTTATTAGCAATAATTTCTGTTTTGAAGTAGAAGCCAAGGAGATTGGGGTTAGGAATTCTTTTTGGTTGATTTTGGTGTATTCTAGTATTGATAAGACTATTAGTGAGGATTAGTGGTGTTACCTTAGGAGTGCTAAATTTAAGTGGGGTAAGAACTGGGTGGTTGGAGGGGATTGAATGAAATTCTTCTCAAATTGAAAGGAGAGATGGGAGGGTTAAGCCTACTAGAAGTTTTCAGGGTTTTAATGAATTCATAGTTGGCATGTGAACGGAGGAAAATCATATGGAAGGGCATAGTTTTACTAAGGAAATAATAGAGATCATTAGGGATTCATTTAAGAAAAGCTTGATAGGGTGCTTGGGTCTTTTGATTAGCTGGCTGCTCATCCCACTGCTGTGATGACCAATATCTTTAAAAGCTCTTCTGATCATGGTTGTTGGTGCTTGACTCTAATCCTGCTGTCTCTTTCAAAAAGAAAAAAAAAATCTTTTTTGACAAACGATGGTTGAAGCAGACAGGTGTAGAGGATACTGTTAAAAGTTCTTGGGAGAAACCTCAGGAGGGCGCTCCTATGTTTATTATGGAGTAAAAAATAAAAAATATAGAAACTAGAATTTCCCTACTTACATGGAGCAGAGCTTTCAGTTCGTCCCATTCTCAGACAATTGGTAGGCTCTCTCTTAAACATGAAGAAATGAGATTGGAAGGGGGGCAAGGAAACTGTAAAGAGTAGGAGAAAAAAAATAAAAAAAGTTGGAGGAGGCTCATTGTTTTGAAAAATAATTTTGGTAACAAAAGGCAACGGCAAATTGGCTAAGAGAAGTGGACCAGAACACCAAGTTCTTCCATTCTCTGACAATGCAAAAAAGGAAAACCAACTCAAGTCTCTTCTTGGATGTGAAAACTGTTAGATGACAGTGAAGTCCTCATACCAACATTTCTTCAGAAAGGATGTTAAGGATGGGCTCAATACAAGAATTTCTAAAGACCCTTGCGTTCTGGGACTCAAATCTGGCATTCCTGAGTTTAAGGAAAATTGCAATTAGCACTTGACTTTGGTCTCTGAACTGATGGAGGAGGGAGGAAAGGCTTGGAATAATGAACTTATCAAGGAGCTGTTTGAAGACTCAGTGGTTCAACTGATTCTGAAAATGAAGAAGTTAGATCCAAGTTAGAGAGAGGTGGATCTGGATTGTGGATTCCAAATGTATGTTCTCTGTTGCTTGAACTTACTCTCAGTTTTTCTGGAATAAGTTACTTCATTTAGACAAAGTTGAAGGAAGATCTTCCGCTGCTAAGGATAAGTTAGCAAGGAAAAGATGTTGGAATTTAGATGTTAAAGGTAAGCCAAAGCATTTTGTATGGAGAGGTTTTACTTGTACTCTTCCTGTGGCTGCCAAACCTAAAAAGAAGAGGAATTGAGGTGGACTGGGTCTGCATGTATTGTAGTGAGGAGGAGGAAAGTATTGAACATGCTCTGTTCCATTACAACAGAGCTTCCACAGTTTGGAGACTATCAGCCTTGGACTGCTACTTCTGTTAAAAGAAAAAGGAAAATTTCAAAGATTGGTGGTGAAAAAGGAAAATTTCAATGATTGGTGGTGGCAAGTCTCAGCTCTTGACAAATCAGAGATCTCAGAAGCCCGTATTCAGCTCTCCATCTACATCTTATGGTGGCTATGGAAGGCCAAAAACTTGTGGGTGTTCCAGGATGTATGGTTACCTGAAAGTTAATTGTTCGGTTTGCTTGGCCGTAGTTGAGGGAGTTTCTCTATAGAAGAATTCTCTAGTGGCTGCTGCTTGGAGTTGTAGTTGATTAGGTTCTTGTGTCAGTTTTCTGCCACTCCTCCTTGTAGTTGCTTTTTCTGTTTGTTTGTTTTTCTGGCTTTTGGGGGCTATAGGTCTCGAGCTTCTGTCCTCGCCTTTAGCCGCCCTGTTTAGTTGGTCGTGTTTTGTGTTTTAGGCCACCCTCATGGTGTTCCTCCCTTGTATTTGGTTTTGATTCGGACTAATTGGTCCCTCAGTTTGTAAGACTGTTTTATTGGTTTTATGAGTATTTCTGCCGTTTCAGAAAAAAAAATAAAAATAATAATGATAATGCAATTTATATTCACATCTCAGTTTCAATTCACGAGCGAAGTCTAACTTGAGCATTGAAAGTTTTTTGTCGGGACCCCTCCCAAAGCGTTTTTGCAGGTCATTGGAGCTCATGTTGAAGAAGGAATTGTATTTTGCTGGTCCAAACTCGATCAAGAGACAATTTACACATCACTATTCTCTTTGACTCAATCAAAATTTAGTCCACTTAGTTGTAAATTAATTTCTTTCTTCAAATTTGGTCCATTTATCACCAAGTTCAACTGTTGTTGATGTGGAATAACTTGTGCACTTCACGCCAAATGACAATAAGCATACTCATCATTTTACAATTGATGTCGCGTGGATTCAAACTTGGTGTCCCTTAAACAAACATATCCAAACCCATGCACTTTCGTCCCTCTTTTCTTATCTTAGTTACTCTAGTTTTTCCTAAAACATAAAAATTAGTAAGTATTTGATAATATTAATTTACACGACTGAAACTATGAATTGACCAAATTAAGTAGTTATATATTTAATTGATTTAGCAGAAAAAAAAATCAAATAAAAACGTGAAACCCGGGGACGGTGCCGGCCTTGTCAATTGCAAATTTGCATGACACAAACCAATTACTTTTATCCCATCAACCACGCTCATCAGTTGACATCAAAATTCTACAATCCAATTTCTACGCCCAAGTCTTTCCCCCCCTCCCTCTCTCTCTCTCTTAATTACTCCGCCATATAAGACTCAGTCTAGCTCACTTTATAAGACTCACTAGTCACTCAATTTTACTTTCCAATAAACAAAATATTCTTACATAAGNCACCACCCCACTCAACGCCTCCCGATTCTCCGACTCCTTCCTCCGGGCCCGCGCCTCCGGCCTCGACGTCCGCACCCTCGTCATCCCCTTCCCCACCCGCGATCTCCCCACCGGCTGCGAGAGCCTCGACTCCCTCCCGTCCCCGGCCCTCCTCCGCACCTTCTACGCGGCCCTCGACTCCCTCGAGGCCCCACTCGAGGCCCGACTCCTCCATTCCCTCCACCCGCCGCCGAGCTGCGTGATCTCCGACAGGTGCCTGCCGTGGACGGCCCGTACGGCGCGGAGGTTCGGAGTGCCGAGGCTCGTTTTCCACGGGATGAGCTGCTTCGCGCTGCTGGGGACGCACAACGTGAGGGTGAGTGGGGCCCACCTGGTGGAGCGGCCGGAGAAGGAGGAGTTTGAGATACCGGGGATGCCGGTTATGAATGGGGTGATGAGGATAGCGAGGGGGCAGCTGCCGGGGTCATTGGTGGCGATGCCGGAGCTGGATGATATAAGGGGAAGGATGGCGGAGGCGGAGTCGAGCGCGTACGGGGTCATCGTGAATAGCTTCGAGGAGCTTGAAGGGGGCTGCGTGGAGGAGTATAGGAAGGTGGTGAATAACAGGGTGTGGTGCACTGGACCGGTTTCTCTATGTAACAGGTACTTAATCAGGAAGCTAGCTACTTGAATATTATTAATTAATTAATTAATTAATTGCGTGGCTAATTTGCAATTCTTTTGATAATCCCATGAGGATATATATTTAATAAACTCGAAATGAATACGAATCGCAATTTTTTTTGGTAATCCGATGGCTAAAGTATTTTTAATTGAAGTTTGAGAGTTTCAAACGCCGGAAACTATAATATCTTACTAGCCATTATATTTTTAGTTAGAAATCGTTGTTATCTAGGGAGTAATTATTGATAACAATGAACTTATGTAATGGGTATTAATTTGTTTGTTTTTCCTGTGTTAAAGAGTTTCTATTCTTCGTGTTTGTTCTTCATTCGTCATTTTCTAGAAAAAAACTATTCACATTTGTTACAATTTCGACAGGGATATAAGGGACAAATTGGAGAGAGGTAAGAAAGCCTCAATCGACGAAACCAAGTGCCTGCAGTGGCTGGACTCGAAGAAGCCAAAATCCGTGCTCTACGCCTGCCTCGGCAGCCAGTGCCGATTGGTCCCCGCCCAACTAACCAAACTCGGGCTTGGCCTGGAGGAATCCGGACGTCCCTTCATCTGGGTCATCAAAACCGGTGCCGACAGGTCAGAGGAGGTCGAAAACTGGTTGGCAGTCGAGAAATTCGAAGAGAGGGTCCAGGGGAGGGGCCTCCTCATCAAGGGGTGGGCCCCACAAATCCTGATCCTGTCCCACCCGTCAGTAGGCGGGTTCCTGACGCACTGTGGATGGAACTCGACCATAGAAGGGGTGTGCTCGGGTGTGCCCATGATCACGTGGCCCATGTTCGCCGAGCAATTTTTGAACGAGAAATTGGTTGTTGAGGTTTTGAGAATAGGGGTTCGGGTTGGAGTCGAGCTGTCAGTCAGGTGGGGGGAGGAGGAGAGAGTCGGGGTATTGGTGGGGAAAGAAGGGGTCGGTAGTGCTATAGAGACGTTGATGGGCGGAGGCCAAGAGGGGGAGAAGAGGAGGATGCGGTCGCAGGAGCTAAGGGCGGTGGCCAATAGTAAGATGGAGAATGGCGGGTCGGCTCATCGTAATATATTGGCTTTGATTCGAGACATCATGGAGCATCAAACCCGAGTTAGGCATTGATGTGTGACATATCTCATCTTCCCATATATATTAATTATTAAAAATGTGTCGAGTTTAATCTGTATAAACATTATTGCTTTGGAATCAGATTTAGTACTTCACATAAATATTTTATTTGTAATTTTGGTAAGTATGCATTTGTTTAATTTTGTCCCATTTTTCTCGTCGAGTATTTGACATAAAACTCATGACAAATGCCGGAAAAAAAAAATGAAATGAAATAGGATCCTTTTTTTCTTGTTGCCTAATTAGGTCAGAGATTCTACACGCCTCTTCTTGTTTTGTCATGCAGATTTATTTCGTGTGCACCCTTTTCAAAGTTAAAGTTCGAACTCGATAAAAGTGAAAACCCGCACTACGACTGTCGGTTTAACACAAGAATTTGCGTTCGAAGACGAGCTTTTTCTGTTTATGTTATTGCTTAAAGATCAGATTCAACCTAATACAAGAGTTCTATTAATACTCTGCTACCTATCCAGATACGGTTTCCAAAAGAAAATAAAATAAAAAATAAAATAACATTAAGAAAACTGATAATAAACTACTGCACTAATCCACGATTATCATATGCCACGGCGTGGAGGTGTGTGTCACGGCGTGAGGAGGCTGGCTGCCACGGCGCGGCGCGTCTTCATGTTGTAGCCTCTGTTGCCCCGTTACTAGGAGTGTTCACGGTCCGGTTTTAACCGTAAAAAACCGTTAATCCGGACCGCGGATCGGTTAAATGGTCAGTTAAAAAAGCCTTAAAAAATCTGGTGGTTAATTTTTCTAAAAATCCGGAATAACCGGTCCGGTTAACGGATTACCTTCGGCAAACCGCCGGTTTAACCGGACCGGACCGGTAAATATTAAAAAACTATAACAAATATATATATACATTAATTCATTCACTATGGCCGACAAATACATTAAATATGAATGTTTTGCTCTTATTATTTCAGGTGTATAAACTGACTGAAAAATGAATGTTTGCTTGGGTTCAGTTTGCATAATTTAATCTTCATCATTTTTGTATTTTTATGTTTTTGGGATGAAATGTGTATTTTTATGCTTATAGGACGAATTGTGTATTTTTTTTATTTCATTATTGTTATTTTTCTTAATTTTTAGGCCTAAATAATCTCTTTTGGACCCAAAATTAAAAAATAAAAACTAAGCCCAAAATGAAAAAAATAAAAATTAAAGGCCCAAAATAAGGATTTTGGATTTAACCGGTTAACCGTCAAACCGGACCGTCCAATGCGGTCCGGATTGTGGTCGGTTAAAAAATAAAACCGGTTCGGTTATGGACAAAAAAAAAAATTAACCGTTAGGTCCGGTTTGGTCATGGTTTGGGCTAAAACCGGACCAATCCGGACCGTGAACACCCCTACCCGTTACATCCCTCAGGAGAAGAGCCGTGGCATGACGAGCACGATGCTTCTCGGCGTGGCGGGCTCCTAGGCGTGACAACCTGGGCCGGCCCATTATCTGTTGATTCGTTTTCCTCGTGAGACTTCGCTCGGTTTTTCGGTTCTCATCAAAATCACATCACACGCCGCAAAGTCAGAGGATAGAAAAAGGAAGAAAAAGTTAATATTAAAAATCTACAAGGACAAGTATGTATTTGCATCATAGTTTGAAACTTGGATCGGCCGGGTCCTACAGAGAACTGGTCAACCCAAACCAACTGGTACAGGTGGATTGTTCGGATTAGGTAGCAAGTGTCAAACATGGTCTTCACCCAGTTGATCCGCATATTGATCGGCCTTGTAATATTTTTTATTTTGGCTTTTTAACCTTTTTTAGAACTTTTTCACTTTTTTTAAAAAAAAATAAATGATGTATATATATATTTATGGGGTAAATATTTATGATAAAATATAATATTATTAAGACTTTGGGTACAAAAATTTCATATAATGTATAGTTATAAGATGATATTATAATTTAAAATTTTATAAAATTAATTACATTTTCAACTATAGATCCCGTGACCTGGTGGTTTGACTAGTGACCTGGAGTCCATTTTGGGTTAATCAGCAGTCCAAGTTTTAAAACTATGATTTGCATTCAAGAAAAATATATATTCCTTTGTGGAATATAGTTTAAAATTTATTTTTTTGGGTTGCCAGTTGCCACAGTATTTGTGACATCGCATCTTCTATGTTTCATGTGGCAACTGGATATATTCTGTGGCATAGAACTATTCAGAATATATCCTTTGGACTGGTAACGTCAAAACTCAGTTCGATCAAGTGTTAACCCAGTCGAGTCATTAAATATATATAGTCTTTTTAGACCTTTTTTTAAATAAAATTATATACGTGTGTGTGCGTGAGAGAGAGGGGGGTTAAATATTTATGATAAGACATAATATTTAAGATTTTGATGTATAAAAGTTACATATAAATTATTAACATTAATGATTCATCTTGTATATCATGCAAGCCAATGATAATAACATTTCATATCTTAATTAACGGCACCAACCAAACTCAATCACAAACTGATGTCAATGCATACTCTTTTATATGATCAAGCATGACGCATGCTATTCAATTCCAACTACTTCATGATCAACCCAGACCAAAAGAAGAAAGATTGCCCCTGGCCCTTTCCATTACCATCATACACAACTCAATCTTATTAGTTATTAGGCACTTTTTGTTCATTGTTTTTGCACGTCCAATTACTGATCACTACTGTTGTTGATCAATCAATCGAGTAATTTCTTGAACCAGAAGCGCAACATTCGCACTAGACGATCCTCCTTCCTCCACGGCCCCCTTCGCCTTCCTCCCGAGCTCCTTCGCCCTTTCCCGCCTTTCATCCGCCTCTCGGCCCACATCCATCACCCTCTCAACTGCACTCCTAATGTCCTCTCTCCCCACCTCGTTTTCCGGACTCGTCTCCTCTCCCAAATGCGCGACGCTCTTGACCCCCACCCCCACGCCCGTCCTCAAAACCTGCACGACCAGTTTCTCGTTCAGAAACTGCTCGGCAAAAATCGGCCACGTGATCATGGGCACGCCCGCCGACACGCCCTCCAGCGTCGAATTCCACCCGCAGTGCGTCAGAAACCCCCCGACTGCAGAGTGGGACAGGATAAGCACCTGTGGGGCCCACCCTCGGATAAGTAGCCCCCTCTCCCCGAAGACCCTCCTCTCAAACCCAGACTCCGAGATCCATTTCTCGATCTCCTCCGACTTGTCCCCACCTTTAACCACGAGAATAAACGGCCGGCCCAAAAGCTCCAGACCCAGGGCCAGCTCGACGAACTGCGCCGGCGAAAGCCGGCTCAAGCTCCCGAGACAGGCGTACACGACCGAACCGGGCTTCTGCCCGTCCATCCACCCAATGCATTCCCCCGCGTCGATCGAGGCCCGATTCCCTCTCTGGGCCCGGTCGAGCGGGCCGTCGTCTCCAAACAGGGACAACGGGCCGACGCACCAAACCCGGCCCGACTTCAACTTCCGATACTCGTCCAAGTAGGGTCCCTCGAGCTCGGCGAACGTGTTGGCGACCACCCCGTGGGCCCGGTGCTCGGTCTCCTTCACCCTTTGGCGGATAGAGCCGACGTCCACGGAGCCGGGGTTGAAGTACCCGGGCAGCTGCAGCCTCGTGAGCTCGATTTTGTCGGGAAGGTTCGGGACGGCGAAAGGCTCCGACGGGCCCACGGTTGTGTGGATTTCCGAAGCGTAAAGTCGGTGCATCACGAGCTGGGCGAAGCAGCTCATGCCGTCGAAGACGATCCTCGGGATTCGGAGGCGATCACACGTGTCGGCGGTCCAGGGTAAGTGTTTGTCGCAGATGATGCAGCTGGGGAGGGGGCGGAGGCCGGCCAGAGTGTCGTCGACGGGGGCTCGGAATTTTTCGACGGCGTCGAAGAAGTTGGGGACGAGGGAGTAGGAAGGGAGGGAGTCGGCGCTCTCGCAGCCGGGCGGGAGGCCGGCCTCCTCGGCGGGGAAGGGGACGGGGAGGAGGCGGATAGGGAGGCCGGAGGAGATGGCCCGGGAGACGACGGAGTCGAAACGGGCGGCGTTGAGAGGGGTGACGATGATGGAGACGGTGATGCCGTGGCGGGCGAGGAGCTTGGCCATGTCGATCATGGGGATTATGTGACCCGGGGCCATTAGAGGGATTAGAATGAAGTTGAGTTGATTTGGTAGTGAAACCATGGTCTTTTTTTTTTTGGCTCTGCTTTGTCTATGGTTTCGGACTAGTGTTCTGGAGGGTGGGGTGGACGACTAGTGGGAGCTCACACGTTAGATTTATGTAAACCGACAGCAGTCAACAAAGTCTTTTTTTTTTAATTAGTGATTAGTTGTGTTTTGTCATCTGTTTTTCATTTTGTCTTTTTTTAATTAGTGATTAGTTGTGTTTTGTCTTTTTTTGTTTTATTTAGTCTTTTTTAATTAGTGATCAGTTGTGTTTTGTCTTCTGTTTTTCATTTTTTTTCCATGTTCATGTACTTTTTCCATGTTGTTACTTCGTAAGTGCTCACGTCACACTTCTGAATTCTGAATGATAAAGACCTATTATTGTAAATTCGGCCAATCTGTCTTAACCAATTCTGGTCTTACACGTGGCTTCACAAAGTTCTGTTAGTCTATAAAGATGGTCATGTCATGTAATTTTCATCCACATTGGTCCTGCGTAGCATTCAGCACATGGTGCTATGCTATCTAGCCTATGTGCCACAAATATAAAACTATAATTCTATCTTTAATTATTAAAATTTTTATTGTTAAAATTTTTATTAGTGGTGAGTGGTGACTCGTGTAATTATTAAAATTTTTATTGTTGGATTAAATAATATATATATATATATAGGTATATGAAATATACGAGTATGTGTTTAAAACCTCAAATGGTAGAAACACTATTAGAGTGAAATTTAGGGTGTATTTGTGAAAGAATTTACTCAAACCAAATTAATTCATATTTAAAATCTAACTCAAAATTTTAACCCAACTTCACTATTCTCAATATTATCAATATAATTAAATAATAACAACCAATCATTTTTACACATCATATGAACTTTGATTAACAATTCATCCACTCACACAGTATTTTGAGACCCGGACCGGCCCGGCAGGTCGACCCGGAACTCGGTCGACCCGGAGCCAAAACCGGTCCGGGTGGAGTATTTGGACCGGGCAACCAAGGACCCGGTCAAACCCGGTCAAAACCCGGCCGACCCGACAGAGACCCGGCCGACCCGGGGCATTGACCCGACCGGGTCAACCCGATTGACCCGGTCCATATATATTCTTTATATTTTTATTTTTTTTAAAATAAAAATATGTATATATGTTTATATGGTAAATATTTATCATGAAATACATATTATTAACATTTTAATATACAAATTTTATACACAAAACATTTAATTTGTTACTTTTATGTATATTTATATAACAAAAATACTCTATATATAATTTTAAAAATTTTTAAATTAATTATCCGGTTCAGCAATTGACCCGGTGACCCGAGGACCTGCCCGGATCGATCACCGGGCCGGGTTTAAAAACTATGCACTCACATAATTTTAACTAACCATCACTTCATATTATCTCTTTCCTACATTTACATCAAAACAACTTTAATTATTTTATTTTGAATATTACTTTAATATACTCTCAAAATCTCACTAACAACTAACTATACTAATTTTTCTAAATTAACCATAGTTAACTAAAAAAAATTCACTTTGAGTTAATTTGATTGAAATTATCATTTTACAAACACACCCTTACCCACTTGCCAGTTTGTCAGATCAACCACAATGAGCATCGTCTCCTAAGAAGTTAACTGGTTATCAGCACCAATGTTTTAAAACACATGTAGCATAATGTGTCGCATTTTGGTCTTTATACTGCGTAGTGTAAATAGCGTTGCTTGTTGCGTAAGCTATTTGAGTATAAATATTTTTTTTATAGAAATATTACAAATATATTTGCATATAATAGAACTGGATGGTTGATTACAAAAATTATCATAGTATTTGAATGACTTCAAAAATAACATCAAAGGATTATTTCTCACAAATGTTTAATGCAAATATCATAATATAAATATTGAAATAATAAATCGAATATATCAAAAAGTAAAAACAAACAACGAAAATATAATGAGGTAAGTCATAATATAATTTTATGTATACGAATTTTAATTATTATTTTTTTATTTAACTATAACTTAATTCTAATCATTAGATATAAACTTTTTATTCTTTATTTAAATGTCAAATATCTAAAAATAAAATGATATAACAAAAATGGACCGATAAATATTGAACTATTCAACTTAGAACTTTACATATTCAAACTTTTAATTTGAAATCATTATCAAAATTTTTAATTTTTAGTTGTCATTTGTAAATATAATCTGATCCCTAAAAATTACGAGTTTTTGAATATTTTATTTTTCAAATGTCGTTGCATAAATATAGTGCAATATAGCATACAATAGCGTGTAATTTCAACATTTCGCGTAAGTTTTCAAGAAAAATGTTAAATATATAAGGCTACGTCGCGTTTAAAACATGGATGTGTGTATTAGTATGTATGATCGAATGATTAAATTTTTAAGGCACTGACCATGAGTTAGGTCGATCCTTCCCTCTTATTGTCTATTATATTTTCTTCAATTATTCTTTAGGAAACCCAAAAGGCAAATTTCGAGTTTGACTCTTGTTATTCAAAAGTGTTCCACACACATACGTAAGGAGCAAGAACGAACGTAAGGAGCAAGGATGGGACCCAGCAAAAATCATCCACAAGATTTCCTTTTTTGACCCCTATCCACATTTTCAACATCTATACAAATCCCAAATTCCCAATGCTTAGCCACACAAACACAACCAGAAATAAAACCTCCAAGGCCCAAGAAAAGAAAACCTCCAAAAAAAATGACTACACAAGAAAAACAACCCCATTTCGTTCTTCTCCCTTTCTTGGCCCAAGGCCACATGATCCCCATGGTCGACATCTCCAGACTGCTCGCCAAACGAGGCGTAACCGTCACCATCCTCACCTCTCCCAACAACCACAACAGAATCAAACCCACCATCGACCGCGCAGTCGCCTCCGGGTCGAGCATCCGCGTTTCCCACTTCAAATTCCCGAGCACCGAAGCCGGCCTTCCGGAAGGTTTCGATAATATGGAAAAGGTGGCCTCGATGGACGAGTCCTTCAAATTCATGACGGCCGCGGCCATGTTAGAGGACCCGGTCGAACAAATACTTAAAAACCTCGAACCTCGCCCGACCTGTTTGATCGCCGACATGTGTTTCGCGTGGGCCACAGCCGTCGCCACCCGGTTCGGAATCCCGAGGCTCGTTTTCCACGGGACGAGCTGTTTCGCCCTCGTGTGTATGCACGTGCTGTTTCTCTCCCGGGATTTCGAAAAAATCGCCCCTTCGGATACAGAGTATTTCGTGGTACCCGACCTTCCCGACCGGATAGAGGTCACCAAGGCTCAGATGAGGGGCACGCAAAAGGAACTCACGCCGGAGTGGGTCAAGGTGCGCGACCAGCTCCTGGGCGCGGAATCCGGAGCTTTCGGGACGGTGGTCAACACTTTCGAGGAGCTCGAGCCAGAGTACGTGAGGAAGTACTCGGAATTGAAGGGTAATAAAAAGGTCTGGTGCATCGGGCCCGTCTCGTCGTGCAACGAGACCGATTTGGATAAGGCCCAAAGAGGCAGCTCGATCGACGAGCACCACGAGTGCTTGAGATGGCTCGGTTCTCGAGACCCGGGCTCGGTTATATTCGTCTGCCTCGGGACCGTTGCTCGACTCGCTGCTTCGCAGCTCGTCGAGCTCGGGTTGGGATTGGAGGCTTCGAACCGACCCTTCGTGTGGGTGGTCAGGAGCGCGCCGGACGAGTTTGACACGTGGCTTAGGGAAGAGAATTTCGAAGAGAGGGTTCGGGAGAAGGGGATTGTGATCCGCGGGTGGGCCCCGCAGGTTTTGATACTCTCCCACCCGTCGGTTGGGGGATTCCTGACGCACTGCGGGTGGAACTCGACTCTGGAAGGGATGACCGCGGGCTTGCCGATGCTGACGTGGCCGGTTTTAGGGGAGCAGTTTTCGAACGAGAAGTTTGTCGTGAGCGTGGCGAAGATCGGGGTGAGAGTGGGATTGGAAGTGCCGGTGATGTTTGGTGAGGAGGAAAGAATTGGAGTTCAGGTGAAGTGGGAGGTGGTTAAGGGGGCTATTGAGGAGTTGATGGATGGGGGAGAGGAAGGGCAAAGGAGGAGAGAGAGGGCTCGGGAGCTCGGGAAAATGGCGAAAAGGGCGATTGAGGAAGGGGGCTCGTCTTACCTTAACATGACTCGTCTTATAACTGATGTTGTGAAGGAGGTAGATGGTTGTGGTGATGGAGTTGGGGAAGGTGAGAAAAGTTAGAAGCACAAAAATTGTTTTGCAAAATTGTTGTTTAGCAAGTTATCTGAGTAGTTTTTATTGTCCTAGGCATATCGGTTGTTTTGAGGAAAATGTCCTACAGGTTCGTGTATTTTGTTGTTTCAAATGCTTCATAAGAATCGACTCATTGAACTTTTAGATTAATTCGCAATGTCCTAAAACCAAATCAAATCGAAATCTCATCGATTGAACTTTAGTTGGCCAATTTGCAATTTAAATTGGAGAAATTTCAACATCTAATTGAAAATTTTTCAAAATCTTTAGTACTTTAGGGACTGGTGGGAGTTTATTTCATGTTAAGAATGAATGAACGATATTCTGAGAGATTGCAACATTCAGTGTGTATCTTATGGTGTTTAAGGAGATATCAAAATCTTTGGGTATTTGAACAAATTTGGAAATCTGAAATCAACATTGTAGATAGGGTTGGTTTGTGCAGGTTGCAGTTTAGGAAAATTTCTTTTACTACGGATCCAAGTGGACTTCCAGTAGTGAATTTCATTAATTTTTGCTGTTGTGGGGTGTGTTCTGTAGTAGGTGGCAGGGAGAAGATGAAGTTGTCTGTATCCAGAGCTGAAATCTTCTGTTTCTTCTCTGAGTTATTTTTTCGTTTAGTTTCTGATCTGTTATTTGTTTGTTGGCATGAGTTATGTGTGTATACCAGATGATAGTCTGATGTAAATTGTGGTGTTTTGTACTTTTGAATGTTTTTCTATTATGAAGAAAAAAAAAAAAAAAATNCTCAACCATAACAAGCAAAGAAATAATATTATCATTCCTCATTATTCAAATTCCAATATGTAAAGATTTAAATTTATTTCTCTCTCTCCAGCAATGTAATGTATAACACCTCCATGCCCCCCAAAAACAAACACACAAACAAACCAAAACCAAAATCAAGGGCAGAACGTAATGACATAGTTAGCCCCAGTCGGGCAGGTAAACGTGCTCGTCTTGTCATCATACGCATAGCTATAAGCCTGCGGGCACTTGCTCTTGAACATCTGCGAATAGCTAGTCGGCTTGCACGTATCGGGCGACCCGTAAGCTCCCGTGCAGCAGTACTGCGGCTGGTTCAGCGCCACACAAGCACTCTTGCACCCAACAATCCCACCGTCCGGACCTCTGACCGCCAGCTCGTTCGGGCAGCCGGCATTGATGTCTGCCGGGCAGGACACGGACGGGCAGCTGCCCCCTCCAACCGAGACAGGCAGGTTGAAGCCGTCGACAAGGCTAATGTCGTAAAAGTCCTTCCCCCCGTCGCCGCCCAGCGTGAACTCGACGAGGGAGGCAGGTGGGGCGCCGCCCGACCCGTTGCACTCGACCCCGCCCGACCCGCAGTCACCGGTCAGGCAGGTGCTGCCCGAGCAACGGGTGCGGGCCCAGATGCGGCCGGACCACGGGGACGGGACGTCGAGGGTTCTGGCGGCGTTGGGGGGAAGCTCGAATCCGGTGAGGGGGGCCGAGCCTCTTCCGGTGAGGGTGGCCGGCCAGATTTGGTAGGGGCAGTTGTTCTTGATGGTGAATGTGGCGGAGTGGACGCTAGTGGTGGTGGTGGTAGCTGCAAAATGTCATGTGACGAATTTTGATGTTATTTTTTTTTTTATTTTTTTTTATATTATTTGTTTAAATTTAATATAATTAATTAAAAATAAAGATCATGTTTGTTTATGAAATTTTTTTGTTTTGTTTGGATTTTTTGGTTTGGTTTGGTTAATTTTGAAAAAAGTGGTATGATTAGGTGTTAGTGGGTATATTAAAATAATATTTAAAATAAAATAAAATAAATTGACTTGATGTAGAGTATGAGATGGATGATTTGAAGTGATAGTTAGTTAAAATAATGTGAATGGATGAATAGTGAATTAAGGTTGATGTTGTGTGTATGAATGATTGATTGATATTATTTAATTATATTGATAATATTGATGATAGTTGGGTTGAGTTAAAATTAAGTTAAAAAATAGTGGTTGAGTTAAAATGTAGAAATTTTTTTAAAAATTCTTGTAAACAAACTTAACCTATGAAGCGTGATATGAGTACGAGACACAAGTATACCCTTAGAAATACGTTATGTATTCAAATTTTCAAAATTTTATGGATACGGATACCTAGGTATTTTTGCATGTTATACATGTTTATACAATTAAATTTTATTAACAATTAAATGTTAATTATTCAATCATACAAAAATAAATTCATATAAATGATCACATATAAAATATTATAGGACCATAAAAAATAGAAAAATATGTGAAATATAATAATTAACAAAATATTTTATTATTTTTTAAAAAATAGCTTATGAATTATTAAATACGATATAAATATGTTTTGGACTGCCTCATAAAACTATGCGTAGAAATAGTCAAATAGATAGAATTGTATCGAAAATAGTAATAAGTTTACTGCTCACCATAAAGAATGCATATTGCGAGGATAAAGGAAGATATATTTTGGACTGCCATGAGAGATAATTTGGCTATAATTTTGAGTTTTTGATATAAATTGTGTTTTTGGTGTTAACTTGTAATGGAATGGGTTATTGATGGAGATATTGCAGGCTATATATATGCACATTTTTTTTGAGAAATGAAGTGAAAAATATTGCTATCATAGGATTAGGGAAATGTAAAATGAATTTTTCCACTTTATTAACCTATGAAATGACCTGCAATTTGAAAGTGATTAACTAAAAGCCAATCTCATATTTTGTAAAATCTTGAATGCAAGAAAGGCACTTTTAATTGAGAAGAAGAATAGCCACGTCAACGTGACGTCATATCTCTTTATATATTAATTCAAAACATGTTGAATCTAATTGACAGACTCTCACGTTTTGAATGCTGACATGGTAAAAATCTAGCAGTTTGTTTATGGAAATTTTTAAAACAAAATTCAACATTTTAATTCAACTACTTTTTTTTTTTAAACTCAACTTTAACTCAACTCCACTATCATCAATATTATCAATATAATTAAATAATATCAATCAATCATTCATACTCACCATATCAACCTTAATTCACTATTCATTCACTCACATTATTTTAACTAACCATCACTTCAAATTATCTCTCTCATACTTTTACATCAAATCAATTTTAATTATTTTATTTTAAATATTATTTTAATATACCCACTAACAACTAACCATACTACTCTTTTCAAAATTAACCAAATCAAACCAAAAAAATCCAACAACACCAAAAATTTTCATATCTAGACATAATGTTGTTTATATATTCATTTTTGCTCTGGAGTTAGGCTTGGTGTTAGACATAAATAACTTTATTCAAACTTGGTAAGTATATATTTAATTTTGTTATTTTTTTCTCTTAGCACACATTTCCTTCTTAGTTGGGCAAGTACCAATCTTACCATATTATAATTTTCTCTCATATTTCTCTCCTAAATTACGATTTATAAATCGCTTTCTGCACTGTATATTCTTTTTTTTTAATCAATTACTCCATCAAAATTTTTAAATAAAAAACTTATTTTAGCAATAACTTTTTATCATATATTTCTTAACTCAACACCCGTGTAGTAGACGAGTATTGTACTAGTTGCCTTAGGCCCTTAGCCATGTTTGATTCATAATATAGCTTTCGACGGCTTTACCTGGTCTTTTTTTGGCCCATTTTTTATTATTTTCTTATTATTTTAAATTTAATATAGTTTATATTATACTAAGGGTATAATGGTATATTCATAAAATTAAAAATTATTTTAATATAATTTACTTTAGTGAGACATATTAATTACCGATATGGATTTTATTAATTTACTTTACAAATCCATATAATGTTTAAAAAGAGATTGAAAACTTTATGTAATTGTTCACTAGAGGATAAAGAAATTGTTTATCTACTTTAATATTGGGTATTTAATAGCTTTTTATTTTTCATATATATAATCTAAAAAAAAAAATCAAATTGATAAAATATAACTTGTAAGAAAATCCGACTACTATAGGTTACTATTAACTAAACAAATAAATAATAAGAACTAATTAATAATTCACTGTCAACGTAATTTATATTAGCAACATATCGCACTTTATTGAATAATCAAACAAAACATATAACATAGGTCAAACAATAGTACAAAACGCCTGTATATTACACGTTAAATAAATTATACTTTAATTCATATAAAAGAGAAAAAAAAAAGTCTTTGCTTAATATTTAACATTTTACATTATTTTTCATTTAAAACGATACCCGTTATTTGTATGATTAACCTGTCTTATAATATAATAATTTTTCTAATTGACACTATTTAATAATTTATATTTATATATTTAGTACTTATGGGATATAGTGGATTAATGTAAAATAATAATAATAATAATAATAATAATAATAATAATAATCTTATTAAAATAATAAACTATATATATACACTATAAAATAATAAACTATTATTCGTTATTAAACAATTAATCTTCATCCGAATCCTCTGCTTCCACCCATCCTTTATTAATGGATACCCATCCTTCATTAATGGATACGGACAGAGACGTCACCAATCTACTTTCAAACACCAAATTCTTGTCGAATTCGTCGTGTTTAATTCCTGCCTCCGGCAGTAACAGTGCCCCGTCCCATCAGCTACCGCCTTCCCACAACAACCGCGACAATTCCATGGTTATGGTGCGGTATGAACACCATGGAATAATCGATTACCCTGTAATCTCAAGCAAAAACAAGTGCGTCAAAGTGGTACAAGATAGTGTCCCTAAACTCAGATTCATGGAATATGTATTAGCGAGTTGCAACACTTGGGTGTTGGTCTCATGCAAAAGAAATCCCCATAATCCACGGGATTTTGTGTGGAACTCTACAACCCGCGAGGTCAGGCCCCTTCATCCGTTTAGTTTGGCATCCCCAAGATCGACGGAGATATGGGCTTATGGGGTCGGTTGTGCTGCAGGCGGGGAGTATAAGGTGGTTAGAAGTCGTGTAAAGAGCCCTTATCTTGGGGATGAAAGAGTGTATGCTGACCCGTTGTCCCTCGGAAGTAGTTCGTGGAAGGAAGTTCCGTATCCTTATCACCCCACCATCGAACCCGCCCAAAATCCTTCTCTCTACATAAATGGCTTCTATTATTGGGATACTAGGGGATGCATTGTATCCTTCGACCTTGCTAATGAAAAGTTTCCTGATGCTGTCATCCCTATGCTGGATCACGACAGAGAAATATTTGGCTGTGTTACTCTTGGCGAGTTTGGTGGGTGTCTCGCGGGTGTTACATTATTTTGTTGCGGGAAGAAATCTACTGAAAATAAGCCTTTCAATTTTGAGATTTGGGTATGGAATGGCGGTAGCTGGTCGTGTGAGTCCACTTTTGATATCCCTGCCAATGCTGTCGCTCGTAGGGTAGTGGGCCTCTACATGAACGATAAAGTGTTTCTTGAGGACATTGACGGTAATCTACTGCTTTACCATTGTGAGACGGCCAAGTTGGAGAAGCTCGGTATCCATGACGATAGTTTATCTATGTTAGTCTTTCCCCTTCTCGAGAGCTCTCCTTGTGTCGAATTCGAATCTGAATCTAAATTCAAATCCAAATCCAAATCCAAATCTGAATCCTGCTCTGCAGACAGACACATGAAAAACACAATAAACAGGCGCCTCAAGCAGCAGTAGTGCCCCAGCCCATCAGCTGGCGCCTAATTCCCACAATTTGAAGTTTAACATCAACCGCTACAGTCTTAAGCTTATGGTGCAGTATGTAATCAATGGATATCACGATTACGCTATAATCTCGACCGAAAACAACTCGTTCAAATTGGTGGGAGATGATGATGATGATGATGAAAAACTTCCTAAACTCTCTTTGCTCAGAGCTCAAAACTACGATATCATGTGTAGGAATGCCCCGTATGATATTCTAGCGAGTTGCAATTTATTAATGTTGTTGTTATGTCAACTAGCTTTTATAAAGCCCTGGATGTGTCTGTGGGAGCCTGTGACCTACAGGTTCCTAAACCTTTCAAATTTTGAGTTGAAGCCGAACTTGCCCTTTCCAATTTTCTCGTCCTACCTGGGTATTAGTCTCAGGTTTGATTCCAAATCTCAAGCCTTATAAGGTGATCAGGTGTCGTGTATTCGAGTATCACGATTCCGAGTGTGAAGTCCGAGCAGAGTTGATCTTGCTCGCAACTTGGTGCTGGAAGGAAATTCCGTATCCACATGATCACGATTTGCGACCCTTGGCCTCACGTAAATGGTTTCTATTACTATCTAGCTAAAGATTCGAGTGGTTATCGTGCTATTATTTCTTTTGACTTTGCAAATGAGGAGTTTCCTGCTCTTGTCCCTCTTCCCGAGTACTCGTTCCACATTGTTCTTGTTGAGTATAACGGGTTGCTGGGTGCTGTTCTTTACGATTTTGTGATGGAGGATATTTCTGCTGAGTGCTGAAGAGAAGAAGCCTTATTTCGAGATTTGGGTCGTGAAATGACGGAAGCTGGTCTCGCCAGGACATATTCCATGTCCCTGCTACTTTTGCTCCTCATAGGGTATTGGGCCTCTACAAGGATCGTTATGTGTTACTTCAGGACTCAACTGGTTATCTGCTGCTTTATGATTGTGCGGCCAAGACGTGCGAGAAATTCAATATCCGTGATGATAGTTCGTCTATGCTTGTATTCCCTTATTTTGCTAGATCCTTTTCCTCTGTAAATGCGAGCTCCTAGAGCATTTTTTATTTTTTTTTTCATGCAAACTCATATCATTGAATCATATTTCTTGTTTTTCGAGTTATTCGTATTTCTTTCATTAGTACTACAACTACGTCACACATGCAGCCCCATATGACACCATTTTTCATTAGTAAACTAATAAAAAAGACACGTAACAGCTAGCTAATATGAAGGAAAACGCGAAAGCCCCTATACGATTTAGTCTTTGAAAACAAAAATAACGAACTATTAAAAACTGAAATGAAGAGCTCGACACGAGAGCACCAATTCCAACCCTTAAACATTCAATTCCTTAAGCTAGAACTTAAAAAGCAAAATACTATAGTTCATATTAAAAATAAAATAAAAATCCAAAAATCAAGGGCAGAACGTAATAAAATAGTCTCCGCCCGTCGGGCAGGTGAACGTGCTCGTCTTGTCGTCATACGCATAGCTATAAGCCTGCGGGCACATGCTCTTGAAAATCATCGAATAAGCCGTGGGCGGACACTTGTCAGGCGTCCCGTAATCCCCCGTGCAGCAATACTGCGGCTGGTTGAAAGCCAAACACGCGCTCTTACACCCAATCACTCCCCCACTCGAGTCCCTAACCGCCAGCTCATCCGGGCAGCCGTTGTTGCTGATGTCAACCGGGCAGGCCACAGTCGGGCAGTTTGTCCCGCTGACCGAAACAGGCAAATTATACCCATCGACCAAGCTGATGTCATAAAAGTCCTTCCCGCCGTCTCCACCAAGCGTGAACTCGACTAGAGAGGCTGGTGGGGCTGCGCCAGCCTGGCGGCACTCGACTTGGCCTGACCCGCAGTCCGCGCTAAGGCAGGTGAACTTATCCGCATACGAGCATTCGAACCGGGCCCAGAACCTTCCGGACCACGGGGAAGCAATGTCGAGGGGTTTTGTGGCCTGGGAAGGTAGCTCAAAGCCCGTTAGGGATTGCGGGCCTGACCCGGTCAGGGTTGCGGGCCAGATTGTGTAGGGGCAGTTGTTTTTTATGGTGAACACGGCTGAATGGACGTTGCTAGTGGCTGCGGAAAAATAATAATAATAATAATAATAAATCTCTTTGTTTAGTTTTGTTTTGTTAATTGGATTAATTAAATGTGAGGAAAAATGTGGTTACCGTGGAGGAGGCATAGGGTGACAATTACAGAGGCCAAGCCTTGGATTTCCATAGTGAATAGTATGTAATACCTGAGAAGGAAGATGTTAGTTATGTGTATACTTGACAATATATGAAATTACAATGTAATTTTAAATAAATATTATATCGATTCTGAAGTTTTCTTTGCAAGTGACTTTCAATTAGCCCTGGTGTCGAAACTATGGAATTTATAATGCTTCTGCTTCTTTGATCACGAAATAAATTTCAATAAACAAACCAATAAAATATACCATTATATGTTTCGTATTAAATAGAGTTGATAAATTTCAAAGATATTCAATAAACGAACCAACAAAATATACAAAATATACAATTATGATTTGTATTTACAGAATATTCAATTATGATTTGTATTTAATAGAGTTTAATGTGTAACATAGAAGAGCAGAGCTGAAGAGCTTACCTCCTCGTGCTTTCAGAAATTTTTCGAGTAGATTTCAATCTCCAGAATGCACGCCCACTCAACTTATAGTATCTTCAGTTTAATATAATTGAACGTATATATAAAGATTAAAGAAAATATACCAAATTTAATTTTGGTATTTGTTCATTAAAAAGGACAATAATATTTTCATGCATTTAAGTAAGATTTTCTTTCAAATCTAAAATCTAAATAAGTCCTTAAATAAGTAAAATTTCATACTCATTATTTTTTAAAAAACAAAATAAATCCCGAATGATATTTCCAAATATTTACATATATTAAAGTTTAAATATCTTTCATATACACGTTAACTAAAATAGTTCAATCCGTATAGTAACAATTATAATTCTTAAAATTTACGTTCCCTATAATAATTGAATTGGAACATATTATAATTCTTACAAATTTATTCCTTAATATCTTGATAAATAAGGTTACCTATTTCTCTAATCGAAGAATAATTGTAATTAGATGGATTACTAACGAGTTCCAATACGAACTCCTAAATCCATGTTGTAATTTGTAAGTTAGGTCTAAAGTCATTTTATTAATTAATTTTATTGCAATAAAACAAGAAACATGCTAGAAAAGACATTGAACGTGCATTTGAAGTTCATCAAATACATTTTGGCGTTGTAGCGGGACTAGTATGTTATTAGAAAAAAAAAAGTGTTACATAATATAATAATCACATGTATAATTTTACATAACATGATTGTCGAGGATGAACGGACCTAAATGCACCAATCAAAATTGAGATGCAAATGCCGCTGCCGGAGATCGAAATAGCAATAGATGAAAGTACTCGATTTCATGAATTCATACCGGTATAAAAAAATTAGAAATAAAGATAATCACATTGCACTTCGAAGTGCACTAAATGATGATTTGTGGGAGGAATTCACCAATTCCTAGACATGAAAAAATATATATCTTTTACTTGTACGAATAATTATTTTAAATTCATCTCAATAAATTTTTATTTTTCAGCTTGTGCAATGTAATTTTTAATTTTAATGGATATTTATTATCTGATTTTATTATGTATATGAATTATAACTTTATAATTTATTTTATTACATAAATTCTAATTGAATTTAAAATAGTAGTGTGGTTTAATTTGTAAAGTTGTAAAATATATAGGTAATATTAAACCTTGATGTAAAAGAGAAATATTTTGAGAATATTCTTTTGGGTTTGAGAATGAGTTTTCCGGTTGAAGATGAATTATTGTTTGATGTGATAGTAACTGCAGAATTAGGTTGAGAATATGTTTTTCAGTTGGAAATGGCCTAAGTGTACATCACCAGTCGTATACTTCACGGATATTGAATTAAAAAAATATATATTTATATAAGAAGTTTAAATTAATAAACAAATAAAATAATATTTCAAATTACATTATTTTACATTATCAGATAAGCACAAAAATTTTCAATCATTTTTGTTTAATATACTGGGCATATTTCACTAAAAATTGTATGCTGTATTGACCTTATATGGCTCATTGTTAGAACGCACTCATAATTTTGCAATAATATAAGTACAAATTTTATTCAAAATGTATAAAAATTTGTCTTACAACAGCCTTTGTGGTCTGTGGATTCTATATGAATCCATACAGTATTCATTTCCCTTGTCAAAGGAAAAACAAACACATTGCATCTATTAACTAACTTCCCATCAACAACCATGCAGCTCATTTTTATCCAATCAAAGTAGTATCGATACCACCCATACATCCAAAAGGGCTATATTTATCACATTTGCATGTAAGCTAACCATAATTTTACATCCTCATAAAGTCTTCTTCTTCTCTAAGATTTCTTCATATCACCAATATTTGCTCTCATATCAAAACTCATGGCAGTTTCTATTTCAAAATCCCTTTTTTCATCAATATTATTGGTCATTTTCCTCATGCTAGCTCTAGCCGACGCGCATTCTCTTCTTGACGGCAAAAGAAGGCTTCTCGCCGGAAAGCGTAAACCGAAAATTATAACGTTCAGACCAAAGCCGTGGAGAGACGCTCATGCAACCTTCTATGGTGGTGCCGATGGCTCGGAGACATTTGGTATTCTATTTTTGTTTTTCTTTTTATTTTTGGAATCTATTAATGATATTATTTTAATTAATTTAACTAATTTACCAATTTTAGGGGGATTCTAGAAGTCATTTCCAAATTAAAATGTTTAATTAAATATTTCTTTCATGCAGGAGGAGCTTGTGGATACGAGGAAGGGCAGGTGAAAGAATTGTACGGAGTGAACACGACGGCTTTGAGCACGGCGTTGTTTAACGATGGGAAAACGTGCGGAGCCTGTTATGAGATCAAATGTGCTGGCCGAAATAAGTGGTGTAAGCGTGGCCAATCCATATTCGTGACGGCCACCAATTTTTGCCCACCTAGCGGGTGGTGCAGTGCACCCAACGAGCATTTCGACTTGTCGCAGCCCGCATTCCTCCAGATTGCCGAGTACGAAGCCGGCATAGTTCCGGTTAAGTATAGAAGGTAAAAATAAAAATGAAAAAATAAAAAATAAATAAAAATCTAGACAAGGCAGGTAAAATATAACATATGTTTCACTAATTTGACTTACATAGGAAAGTGGTGCATTCTAGGCATATCATCAAACTTAGTCCAATATGTTGTCATTTTAATCATAAATGATATAAAAATGCTGACGTGACAGAAATATCTCTTTTTTTTCTTTTTTTCTTTTCAGTTACAAACTACTAAAGTAAACATTAATAATAAATTATAACTTTCACAACAGTTTTGTTATGAAAGCAACAGTTGACTCCATAATAGAGTCAACCTTCTATATACAACAAGCAAACCATACCATATTAATAAAATTATTAGTATTATTTAAGTAATCAGAGAATATGGTATGGTTTACTTGTTGTATATACAAAATTGGCTCCACTAACTGTTGACTTCGTAGCAAAACTGCTTTCACAAATGGTCTTGTAACTTGAAGCAGATCATTTAACTCAGTACACTATGTTGGTATTTGATTATAAATGATACAAATGCTCTTTTTTCAGATCTTCAAATCTTACATGGCATGCTAATACCTTGTGTGATGTATGACAAAATAATTTCTTTTCTTTTTTTTTTTAAACATTTTACATGTAGTAATTATGAAAATTTTGAAGGACAAAATGTCTAGGAACGCACTAATGTTGTCTCATCCATACACCAGTCCTAAAAATTTGCAATTTCACCTCTTCCGTAACCATCTAAGAGGACTCCAAATGGTGTAAAAAAACGTATAATACGAAAATTTGTATCTCAAGTCGGAAACCACCTTATTATATCGTTATCATGTCATACTAAATTTTAATGATTGAAATAAAACTTTAGCAACCATTTATTATTGAAATATCGCCATACTGAACTAATTTTTAATCATATGTCAACACAACGAACCATTTTAAAATGTTATTGGGTTATTATTATTTGATTTGTTAAATGCATACATATTCATGATCAAAATTCCAACATAATGACCTAAATGAAATGCTAAGTGAATATAACATGCATGAGATCTACTCGTTTTTGCAAGGGTTCCATGCAAAAAACAAGGAGGCATTCGGTTCACCATAAACGGAAACCCCTATTTCAACCTGGTCACAGTCACAAATGTCGGGGGCTCAGGTGACGTGGCCAAGCTGGAAGTGAGTAGTGGGTCCCAACAGTGGGCCCTATTGGGCCGCAACTGGGGCCAGAAATGGGAGACCAACACAAAACTCGTGGGCCAGGCCCTTAGTTTCAGGATCACTACCAGCGATGGCAGAAAGCTAACCCTAAGGAATATTGTACCCAACGACTGGCAGTTTGGTAAGACCTACGAAGGCACAAACTTCCACTGAGACCATTCTATTTTCGATTGAATTTTAATTTCGTAAGAAAATAGGTAGCAAGAACTTTTAATTGTATTCAAAAAGCTATCATCATGTTGCGATTTCATTGCTGTTCAGAGAAAATCAGTTATCTCGATTCACGCAATACAGTAAAAGTCCCACAAGAAATTCGTTGCTATTAGCGTGCTGCTCTGCTACAACAAAAAAAATCTATTCACAACATTCTTAGCCGATTAAATCCCAGCACCACAATTCACTCAATTAACAAAACTTTGATAATATATATATGCGCCGAACACAATTTCCAATGTGCCGACACTTTTGAACCATGCTGATGATTGAGAGAGAACAAGAAAAACTTACGCGCGTACAAGTCAATCAAGACCAAACATGATCGCCATCGAGCTTCTTTTGCTTCTTCTTTTTCCTCCTTTCTTCTCGCGGGTTAACCCGTCGGTCGTTTTGTTGGGAGTGCCGCGAACGTATTTCGAGTAATTTAGCTTTTGCGTCTCTAAATGGTGCATCGGTTTTTGCAGCCATCAATTGCTGGGAAGATATGAAGACAGTCGAATTAGTTAAGCTAGGTGGAAAATTTAAAAGAAAATATCAGGTTGTGGTGCAGATGAAATTAATTGATTTACCTTTAGATGGTCCATTGCTGCTAAGTTGAAGCCTAAGGTATCTTTACATTCCTGTCACGACAGAGAAGATCATTAGAATCAGGCAAAACAGGTCACGGTTTGAAAAGTTGAACCTAAAATCTAAGCGGGTTGCCGCGAAAATAAACCAATAAATAAACTTGAGGACTAACATACTTGGACAAAATTGAAAACTAACAAACTACCTTAACCCTTGCATGCAAGATGTCTTTGAGAAGAGATAAGAGAGGTCTTGCGGACACTGTAGAGGTTAGCTGGTTATGATGGATGTGTAACAAAACAGTCGCAACCCGACACACAAGCTCAACCTAGCAAAATAGCAACAACAACAACATAATATGATTAAACAATCAAGCCAAAGTGAAACTGCAATCAAGTCCTCTTGCGATGGACTCGATAGTAATAAAATTTCACATAGAAAGGACATGTATTTAGGATAGAGAGATGTACTTATGTGACGAAAAATGGTAAAATACACCACAACTCGTATAAATGACAACTCTGGATTTCTTAGATGAACTAACCTTATCAGGGAATGTAATCCAATCTTTCAAATAAGACAAAACCCTTAGAGAATCCGAGAATGGTAGAGCCTGCAGAAACGCAAATATAAGAATAAATCAAACTATATCTCCAAAATGTGCAATAGAGGAACTAGATTGATGAAATTCGACTGAGTAAACAAAATATCCAAGAAAGAAGCCAAAGTCATACATGATAGTGAGATCGCAACTGCAAATGTACATTAGGTGAATTTGAATACTTTTACTTCTACCTCACTAGCCAAGACTCGTGTTCTTATAAACACTTTTCTTGGCAACAGGTAGGAATATAGAGGAACCCAGATTCATATTAAGAGGAATAAACCGGTCCGTAACAAATAAACATACAAGATTTTCACAAATACAAGATATATCACCAAACTTACTAGCAATGCCTGTTCCAAATCATTGGTCTGAACTTTTGAAACTGCCAGAAGTACATGGTCTGATGGTGAACGATTATTCAAAAGTACATTCGGCCTAAAATCAGCAACTTTCCCTTTCGACTTCTCCTCCTGGAAAAATAAAAAATAAAAATCCAGAAAAAGGGAGTTCAAAATGAATTCTACACCCATGAGATCTCAGGTGTGGATACCACAGGTCTCACTTTTGCCTACATAATTTTTTTTTTTTTACCTCATATTCAGCAATGCGCTTCATTTCTTCTTCTGCTATGTCTAGTGCTTCCATAATAGAGTCGGCAGCATTTACAGTTTCCCCAGTTTTCTTTCCCGCTAATGCCACCGACCCTTCTTCAGGAACTTCCTCCTTTGGTCCGTACTTAGTCTCGAATGCATTATCAATGTCAGATTCTAACATCTCCTCCAGCCTTTTTTCCTTCTCTTCCTGTAAAGCACAACAAAAAATGTCACCTTATCATCGCATATTATATCTCAACTGTCCGAAAACAGTGCACAGATGAGGTAGAAAATATATGAAATAGTTAAATACCACACAACTCCAGAAGAAATTACTTTAAAGCAATACCTCAATAGTAAAATCCTCTTGAGTACGGTCCCAACGGCGTATAGATCTATCACGAGATCCCGTCATGATAAAATCACCACGGTTGCTGACAGCCAGGCACCAAACTTCCGAGTGATGGCCATCGAGAGTTAAAAGTAATTCAAACTTGTCTGCATCCCAGTACTTCACCATTCGGTCTCTGCCCACACTAAACATGTAGTGGGTGTCCTTCACAAACTTAACTGCCATGACACTGAAATCCAACAGCTTTCCAAAATTAAAAAACTCATTCACTGTTTACTTACAGTTTCAGGAGAGTAGAAAAGACGAATGAGCTCGGGTAGTGGAACAGTTTAGCTAGTGATGAAATGAAATACCTATCAGCATGAGCAAAAAGAGACTTATGGCAGTCACCAAAATCCAGACCCCAAATTTTCAAATTCTTATCGGCAGAGCCAGTAACAATCAAATCCCCATCAGAGGATATGTCCATGCACAGAGCTGGCAGCTTATGACCGTACAAGGAGAGGAAAAATTTGAGTGAGTCCATAAAGAAGACCTGATCATTTATAAGAATAAGCTGTGATTAGTATTAAATCAAAACAACTTAATCCAGTTTTTCAATAACTATAGAAACATTTCACCAGTCACTCAGCCAACTCAATTTATTTTCTGCTTATACCACCAACACAACAGGGAAATGTAAGAATGTCAAGTTAAAACCTCTAGGTCGATCATGCACAGTAACAGAATTTATTCACTAAATGCATATTAGAGGGACATCAACATATAAATGAAATTAGGAAACACACAGGAAAACCAATCAGCAAATTTGCCTATATACCTGACCATATCTGCCTAAAAGGAATTTAAAGATATTTCATTGCTTCATGTAATGAAGAAATTCTACTCGTCTAGTGTCTATGTTTTTTGGAGCAATCGGCAATCATGGACTTTATCCTGTGACCAGGTCACCAGGTGAATGAGTTTTATAGATCACCAACCATTTGGAACATTATATCTAACAGCATGACATAGGAGATGAACAAGTTTAATTTTTTTTTTTTTTTAAAAAAAAGAAAAAAAAAAATCCAACCTTTACTGTGGAGTCCAACAAGGAAACAGCAATATGTTTACCCTCGGGACTGACCACCACCGCCACAACATCGTCATTCATTTTCAGATTCCTCACTGGAGATACTGTCAGATGTTTATAATCCTGTAAACCCACAGTAATGAAAGTTGTGATAGTTAAAAAACACAAGGAAATATCTCGTGAAAATTTTTTAACATGGGCAATCAATTGTTATGTTAGTTGACAAACAAAATCAGTTGTAACTAACAAAGTGAGAAAAGAGAACAGGAACTTGTATTTGGCACATACTTCACCGGTTTTCTGGGCAATTTGGTACTCCCAAAACTTGACATCCTTGTCCGAACTCCCTGTGACAAAACCATCAGCTGTTGCAACAATAGACTGAACAGACCCACCATGAGCTTCAATAACTTCCACACAAGTACCACTTCGGACATCAATAATCTCCAGAGTCCCAGTTTTTGTGCCAACAATTGCATACTTATCACCTGGGACAAATAGGCCACACAATCCAAATCCTGAATCAATAGTTCGGAGACAAGTTCCAGTACTAGGATTCCATATCTTAATAGCACTGTGACTTGTCGACATCAATAGACTATTGTCCGAGCTAAGAGTGACACTTCTCACATCTGAACGATGTCCTTGTAGTTCAATGGCACTTGTTTTTGCTGCCGAAGTGCTCTCGATTGAATAAATTTCTAGCATATTATTGTTTAAAGCCAATGCTAAAGTTGCCATGGAACCTTTTGGAGTGATAGGACAGAAAGACATAGAGCATATCTTCTTCCTGGCACGTATCACCTGAAGAGGTTTAAAGACATCTGGGACTGTAACCGTGACCTCACCACCCTCTTCTACTTCAACATTCGTTTTTCCATTTTCGGTAGTATTAGTATTTCCCTTTGAGATTTTCTTCACCTTCCTGTTCACTCTTCTTTTTGCTTTGCGTCTAGCTTCAGACTCGTCCAACACGCGAAAGATCTCAACCATCGTCCCAGCTACTTGACAAGCCAACAAATTCCCAGACTTGCTGAACCTCACAGAAGACACTCTATCTTTGCTCTGCCTCTGTATGTCACCAAAATGCTTCAGAACTTCCCATTTGTTCTGCACAGGGACATTTCCATTGCCAACATCAGATTCAGTATTCGCCAGCCCAGGGTTTTCATCAGCCAAATCATTCTTAATCGTGAAAAATCTGAGCTCCGGGTCTGCCGACCCAGTTACCAGATACCTTTCATCAGGGTCAACATTAACGGACCAGATTTCACTGTGATGGCCACTAACAATCTGTACACAGTGCTGGGTTTCCAGATCCCATACCCTCAAAAACTTGTCTTTCGATGAACTAACCAATTTATTACCAGAATCCAGGAACACAAGGTCAGTGACCTGTTAGAAGAAAAGGAACAATTATCAGAATCCTTCTGTCCCAAAATTGAGAGGAAAAAAAAATATCATTGGATTCTTGCATAAAACATAAATATGACTTAGATATCTCAAAGAATTATCAAAAACCTGATCACGATGCCCCCGAAGGCGAAAGAGCCCAGCTTCACCAATCACATCCCATAAAATAATGTCACAGTCTTTGCTTCCAGAAGCAATCAAAGAACCAAGCTTGTTGAATTGAAGGACTGTAACAGCAGATTTATGTCCATTCAAAGTGGTTTCACATGTTCCCTTGTCAACATCCCATATTCTTACAGCACCATCAGCATACCCACTTGCAATCTGCAAACAAACCAAGTACATCCTCCATTAATCACATTTCAACAGAAGAATCAAAATCAAAAGAAAAGGACATCTTTACAAAATTTATTTAATGAAGAAAAGATACAAAGATAGAGCCATAGTGACCAAACAAAGACAAATATTTGTTGGTAGTACCAGAGTAGACGAAGACGAGGCGATGGAGGTGACTGCGAGGGATGGGCCGCGAGAGGAGGAGGTGGGCGCCGGAGATAAGGCCTTGGTGCAGCTCCCCTGACGCACGTGCCACACGCCGAGCTTCTCTAGCGCCGCCGCCAATAGGTGCTTGCCGGAGCTGTCGTATGTTATATTGCTGTCAACCGACACTATCACCCCAAACGCCGACGCGGCCTTGTACCTATAGTATATCTTCACCATTTTTCACTTGGCTCCTTGCCGGCGGCCGGAGGCGGAGAATTTGGTTTGGGCTGGAGGAGATGAACGTTGAATTTCAGGGTTTAGGGTTTAAGCTTGCATCTTCATCCTGTTTTGTTCATTTATTATTACTTTTTTTTATTTATTTTATTCTTCTTTTGTTTAAACTTTAGAGCTGGGACTGAAAAAACTAATGGGCCAATGCTTGAGTTCTCTTTGGGCCTCTCTTGACTTTAGCCTATATTCAGTTCTTGGGTCAATACAATTCTAGTGTAACGAACTTCTAAAAATAGCCATACGACCAACCATTATTAACTAGTACGTAGTATTTTTTACCGTGTACATGTACGAACGAGGTCATTTGAATTACACAAGGATTAAATAAAATTTAAATTTAACATAAAAAACAAATGAATTATTATCAATTTTCTTTATCATTTTCGATTGGTCGTTTTTAAAAACTATCAATATAATTAGTTATAGTCAAAACTTTCAATCAACAATATATTTTATATTAAACAAATAGTGACACGTAACTTAATAAACATGTCTTACTATAAAATTCTAAAGTTCTACATTTAGCTAATCTATTGTATACATATCGCTACTATTACATGCAACATTTTTATCTAATAATTTCATTTTTAGCCAATATTTTTAAGATTTTTTTAAAATTTTTAAAAATATATACGCATAAGGTTAAATCCAACATTCAAGACTTCAATAGTAAATGTAGATTGTTGTGCTTCATAAGATTCGAAAAGATTA